TATTTTCCATATAAAATACTTCCTGCTCCACCTCTCTTCCTCTCTGATCATGTACCCTTTTATCTTCTCTTTGTCTCCTACCGTAATGGTTTTGAGGCAAGATTTTCATTGTGCAAAACAAATTAATTATTAATGACGGAAAATTGGTACTTTGGAAATGAGCTCAAGGATGTTACCTTTAGCGTTCCGTTGAAAATGGCAGAGCTATGCCCCTGGGTAAATGATCAACACTCTGGTGTTGTTGGAGCCTTGGAAAGCCATTTCCATCCGATAAATAAGGGCACTTATAGCTGGATCAGCTCAGTGGGAAACCATTACAACACCATTTGGAAATGATAAAAGGTTTTAAAGTGAATTCTCAAACTAGATGGATTTATATCTGGGGCCTGATTATTTGATAGAATCAGAATAAGCCAGTAATGCAGACTGATATGAGATGTCCTACGTAAGTATATGTGCTTTTTGTTTTATCATTATATTGTTTTATTAAATTTTTAATTTGCTAAATGGTCATCCATCTGAATCATGTAAAAAATATTATAAAGACCAAAATATTATTCAAACTGAATTCAATTGGCTGTCACCAAGCATTTAAGTTCCTGCTTATGTTTTCTAAGTGCTGTGTATTTCTAGGGTGTGAGTCCTGGATGGGAGCCACCAGCCCACTAATACTGTTACACAGTGTTACACTAGAGATAATAGGAGGACCTGAGGACGACGCGTAGCTTAGAGAGATGAGCCTGCAGTCCCAGCTTGGACAGTGACCGTAGACAACGCCAGCGGTTCACCGTAGGGCATTGCCCTATTTGTTGGAGACATCAGGGTGACTTATCACTCCTGGCCTACAGTGTACCCTGCCTGCCTGCGTACTGCTCTATTCTCACGGGACCCAGCAGCAGCTTCCTACAGATAGAGGCACTGGGGACACATGGTGCCACACTTATCACCCTGCAAATTAATGGAAAAATATGAAGTGAGGCGAGGTCTCAAAGCAAGCTGTGGACTGAGCAGGATAAGTGGGAGGTTTTCACCGCAGCATGCATTCTCATTATGCCTTAGTGATGCATCCTCTACTACTGTACCACCTCTATCTAACTCTATTAGGCCATGACAATCGATGAATGAGCTTATTGTTTTCTTTTTGAAAGCAGATCTGTCCTTAAAACTCAGTTCACACAGTATATAACTTTAAAATGTTGCCCAAGATGTCTCTAACAGGGTGGATATTCCCTGTTACTGGTAGCGTTCTTCAGCGTTTTCTATTGTGTTGAATGTGCTCTGGGTTTGATTGTGTTTGTCTGCTTGCTTCAGATAACGATCTGATTGAGCACACCTTTGCCCCTCCCGATAAATGAGGAGCACACGGTGCACTTTGGGCGCAAGCCAAGCCAGATCAAGTTGCAACGCCAGTCGTCATAAGGTTGAGTTTTAGTTTGATTGTTGATGGCCAAAGCTATATTTAAGCTGCAATATGTAACTTTTTGGGTGACCTGACCAAATTCACATAGAAATGTGTGTTATAGATCTGTCATCGAAAGCAAGTCTAAGAAGCGGTAGATCTGTTCTATATGCGGTATTTCTATGCTTCCCGTTCTTAAGTTTCGTGTTTGCGTCTTTTCCTTTTGGTTTCGTACACCAGCTTCAAACAGCTGAAAATACAATATTTTTGGTTATGGAAAATATATTTCACATTGGTTTAGATGCTACAATGATTCTCTCTACGCTATACTGAAATTAAGCAAACTATTATAATTTTAGCAACCAGGAAATGTATGCATAGTACATCTTTAAAGTAAGAAAGAGTCATTGGTTGTATCTTGGTGTGGCAGCTTTGAGCCCAACAAGGTAAAGCGCAACCTACTGAATTGTTTGTATTCTGATATGTATACTCTTAAAGGGGAAGGCTAACATATTGAATTGAACGTAGCTTTGCGTAACTAACTATTACAGCGTTGTGTGGCTTCTGACTGTGTTCTGTTTGCTGTCTTATTCACCTGTAAGCATTGTCTGGCTTCTGAACCATTTGCTGTGCCTTACCGAATAACTTACACTGAGTGTGCAACTCAATATTAGTAAGGTGTCCCTAATGTTTGGTATATTAAGTGTTTGATATCCTTGTAACTATACTGAACAAAAATATAAACGCAACATGTAAAGTGCTGGTCCCACCATGTTTCAAGAGATGAAATAAAAAGATCCCAGAAATGTTCCATATGCACAAAAAGCTTATTTCTCTCAAATTTTGTTCACAAATTTGTTTACATCCCTGTTAGTAAGCATTTCTCCTTTGCCAAGATAATCCATCCACCTGACAGGTGTAGTATATCAAGAAGACATTTAAACAGTGTGATCATTACACAGGTGCACCTTGTGCTGGAGACAAAAGGTAGTTTTGTCACAATACAATGCCACAGATGTCTCAAGTTTTGAGGGAGTGTGCAATTGGCATGCTGACTGCAGGAATTTCATCCAGAGCTGTTGCCAGAGAACTTAATGTTCATTTCTCTACCATAAGCCGCCTCCAACGTCATTTTAGAGAATTTGGCAGTACGTCCAACCGGCCTCACAACCGCAGACCGCAGGGTGAGCGGTTTGCTGATGTCAATGTTGTGAACAGAGTGCCCTATGTTGGGGTTAGGGTATGGGCAGGCATAAGCTACGGACAACGAACACAATTGCATTTTATCGATGGCAATTTCAATGCACAGAGATACCGTGACAGGATCCTGAGGTCTATTGTCGTGCCATTCATCTGCCGCCATCACCTCATGTTTCAACATGATAATGCACAGCCCCATGTCGCAAGGATCTGTACACAATTCCTGGAAGCTGTAAATGTCCCAGTTCTTCCATGGCCTGCATACTCAACATGTCAATTGTTGAGCATGTTTGGGATGCTCTGGATCGACTTGTACGACAGCGTGTTCCAGTTCCCACCAATATCCAGCAACTTCGCACAGCCATTGAAGAGTGGAACAACATTCAACAGCCTGATCAACTCTATGCGAAGCAGATGTCACGCTGCATGAGGCAAATGGTGGCCACACCAGATACTGACTGGTTTTCTGATCCAGATTAGGGCCTAATGAATTTTTCAATTGACTGATTTCCTTGTGAACTGGAACTCAGTAAAATCATTGAAATTGTTGCATTTTATATTTTTGTTCAGTATAGATTGGTGTGTGAGGATTGGCAACAACACCTCCTCCACACTGATTATTTACACAGCTCTCTGCTGTATTCCCTGTTCACCCACGACTGTGTGGCTTTGCACGACACCAACTCAAAGTTTCTGACAACACCATGGTTGTAGGCCTGATAACCAATAACGATGAGTCAGCCTATAGGGAGGAGGTAGGTGAACTGTCATTGTGTTGCCAGGACAACATCTCCCTCAAAGTCAGCAAACAAGGAGTTGAGTCTTGACTTCAGGAAGCAGAGGAGGGAACATGCCCCGATCCACATCAACAGGACTGCAATAGAGAGTCAACAGTTTTAAGTTCCTCTACGTCCACATCAGAGGACTTGACAAGGAACAACAACACCACCACTTGTCAAGAGGCCTCAACAGGGTCTCTACTTCCTAAGGCGGCTGAAGAAATTCGGCATGCCACCCCGAGTCCTCTCCAAATAGTACCGCTGCACCATCGAGAGCATCCTGACCGGTTGCATCATGGCCTGGTATGGGAATTGCTCCGTCCATGACCGCAATGCCATCCAGCAGGTGGTGACGGCCCAATACATCACCGTGCTCCCACCTGTCCAAGACATCTACTCGAAACGGTGCCTGAGGAAGGCCCGCAGAATCATCAAGGACCCCACACACCCCAGCCACAAGCTGTTCTCTCCCTTACTGTCGGGCAGATGTATCGGAGCATGAGGTCTGACACCAACAGTCTTGGAGACAGTTTATATCTACAAGCCATCAGACTGCTGAACATTTGAACTGGACTGACCACCTGCTCTGATTCTCTGCACCTTAAAACACATGCACTCACTCACGTACACACCCACGTATACATTCATGTGGTCCTCTGTGGCTCAATTGGTAGAGCATGGCGCTTGTAACGCCAGGGTAGTGGGTTCGATCCCCGGGACCACCCATACGTAAAAATGTATGCACACATGACTGTAAGTCGCTTTGGATAAAAGCGTCTGCTAAATGTTATATTATTATTATTATTATTATATTATTATGTTACACACATCTCAACTGCTGCTACCAGACTCTTATCATGATTGCTAAATACTACACAATTTAAACACTTGCCCCCCAATACCCCCTTCCCCAAAACAAAATATTGGACTATAAATTGTGCCTTCCTGTATTATGCTAAAATGTTTATTATATTCTACTGAGACATTTACTTTGTTCCTATTCTTTTATTTCTTATTGTTGCATTGTCGAAGAAACCTGCAAGTAAGCATTTCGTTTGACTTTTCAGCCCTGTTTACATGTATATCCTACTACCAGTCACTTTTTATGTATAATCCCACCTCAACCACTCCAGTAGCCCTGCACATTCAATGGTACTGGCAATGACCTGTATATACTTGCATTCTCATGTTTCTAACTCGCATCATAGTTCTTGTGTGGTTTTATTTTATATTTTATTATATTATCTTTATCATAATTATCACTGCATTGTTGGGAAAGGTAAGAACTTCACTGTGCTGTTTTACACTGGTTGTATCCTGTGCAGGTGACTAAACTTTGAAACTTGAATAATACAACTTGAAACTTTAGCAAGATTCTTGTGCAACAGGCAACAATTTGTGGTACAGCCTTCAACATCTACCCCTGGATTGAGTCATTGAAACTCTAATTACCTATTTATAACATTGTAATAAACTATATATTTTTAACTGTTTAGTGTGATCTGTTTCCATGGCATTGTATCCAGTTGTAGTCCTGGAATAGTATTTCTTATGTAAAGCCTGCACGTTACACACTAAACCTCAACCTCTAGGAGATTAGAGGATGCTGTTAGTTACATGAAATGGCCACAGGTGTGAGTCAGCTCTTGTTTTTCATTCTGTTTTTCTTTTCATCTCATTCATGGCAGATGGTTTTGGCTGCTTGCAGGAGTGGTGTATAAGCACAGCACTCTATTTTACGCCGGTGGATTATTCTCCAAGATGGGACAGTAATGGTTTATATGGACAATGAGTAAGCCCTCTGCTGTGCTGTGTTACCAGGGTCGCCCTAATCAGTGGAGATTGTGTGTGTGTGTGTGTGTGTGTGAGAGAGAGAGACAGGAGAGCAGCAGGGGCGGGCACTGCAGGGGACAGAGATTCAGTCCCTGCCTGCCTCCCTGCCTGCCGTGAGAGCTGGATTAGGCACTGTACGTACACTGGCTGCTGTTTTCAAATTGCTCTAAATTCTCTGAGATTAAGGGGGAAATGAATGAACAGTGACAGTCTGTCATGGGGGAAAATGCTTAATATCAAAACAACCATGCAATATACAAAACACATCCTTAAAAACCAATATGCAGTATACATGGGGTCGTGTTTCAAGATATACTGTTGAAGATACATTATCCATTAAGCTCACTGTATACCGGTCTTAAAAGTCATACAAATATAACTACAACAAGCAGGAACAGTGCTGGGTACAGTATTTATTTTATAAGGAGGTTTACATTGCTTTGCTCACTTTCAATGTTTAAAGAGTATCCTTTGGGCTGATGATCAATGTCCTTAGCTGAATGATGCTAATCATATTCTTATATAGCCTTCCACTACAGGCCGTTAGTGGGGCTTTTAATGCCAGTCTTAATGTCGGACTACTCCAGACTGCATAGTGAACCATATGGGAACAATAGATCAGAGTAACCGCTCCCTGCAATGTAATAGACCTGGGGATGTGTGTGCAGCCTACTGGTAGTATCTGTTTGTCAATGTTATAAGCCACAATACTTCTACTTCCATAGTACTGTTAGTCTCTGACATCTCTCAAGCAGTATAGACAGTACAGACATTTTCTTCTGCAATGCATCATATCCTTTTAATGACAGTTACTTAGTTAAAGGGGCAATCTGGGATTTAAAAAAATGAATGTACCAATCCCAGATTAATTGCAAATAAAAAGCCATATCTCAGACTGCCCATCTTAATCTTTTCTTTTTACTGGCCAGTCTGAGATATGGCTTTTTCTTTGCAACTCTGCCTAGAAGGTCAGCATCCTGGAGTCGCCTCTTCACTGTTGACGTTGAGACTGGTGAAGCTGCCAGTTGAGGACCTGTGAGGCGTCTGTTTCTCAAACTAGACACTCTAATGTATTTGTCCTTTGTTCAGTTGTGCACCGGGGCCTCCGACTCCTCTTTCTATTCTGGTTAGAGACAGTTTGCGCTGTTCTGTGAAGGGAGTAGTACACAGCTTTGTACGAGATCTTCAGTTTCTTGGCAATTTCTCATATGGAACAGCCTTAATTTCTCAGAACAAGAATAGACTGACGAGTTTCAGAATACAGTTATTTGTTTCTGGCCATTTTGAGCCTGTAATCAAACCCACAATTGCTGATGCTTCAGATACTCAACTAGTCTCAAGAAGGCCAGTTGTATTGCTTCTTTAATCAGCACAACAGTTTTCAGCTGTGCTAACATAATTGCAAAAGGGTTTTCTAATGATCAATTAGCCTTCTAAAATGATAAACTTGGATTAGCAAACACAACGTGCCATTGGAACACAGGACTGATGGTTGCTGATAATGGGCCTCTGTACAGCTATGTAGATATTCCATTAAAAATCAGCCGTTTCCAGCTACAATAGCCATTTACAACATTAACAATGTCTACACTGTATTTCTGATCAATTTGATGTTATTTTAATGGACAAAAAAATTGTTTTTCTTTCGAAAACAAGGACATTTCTAAGTGACCCCAAACCTTTGAACGGTAGTGTACATCTAATCAGGACTTCAGTAACCTGCAGCCATTAGAGACATCAAACCACTGCTGGTATGTAGGTGCCTTCACCATGTCATGGTTTGCAACCAAAGTGAGTGCCAGCCATCATACAAATAGCTGGCGCTGCTGGAGCTATTTCCAGTCTTTCACACTCAGGATGCTGACTGCTGAGAGATGAGGAGCCAGATTGGAGCATCTGTAATGTCCATACCCAAGGGCACTAGTGCCTCGGTGGGAGACTGTTCGCCTTGTGTGGAACACTCAAACGAGATCAGTAAATATCACCCCTCACCCACCCGTCGGTTCTCATCTGCCATGAACACTCAGCATATTTGATCACATACAGGGCATTCGGAAATTATTCAGACCCCTTGACTTTTTCCCAAAATTGTATGTTACAGCCTTATTCTAAAATTGATTAAAATAAATACATCCTCATCAATCTACACACAATAGCCTGTAATGACAAAGCAAAAACAGGTTTTTAGAAATGTTTGCTAATTTATTAAAATAAAAAACTTATAAATTACATTTACATAACTATTCATACCCTTTACTCAGTACTTTGTTGAAGCACCTTTGGTAGCGATTACAGCCTTGAGTCTTCTTGGGTATGATGCTACAAGCTTGGCACACCTGTAATTGGGGAGTTTCTCCCATTTTTCTCGGCAGATCCTCTCAAGCTCTGTCAGGTTTGTTGGGGAGAGTCGCTGCACAGCTTTTTTCAGGTCTCTCCAGATATGTTAGATTGGGTTCAAGTCCAGTCTTTGGCTGGGCCACTCAAGGACATTCAGAAACTTGTCCCGAAGCCACTCCTGTGTTGTCTTGGCTGTGTCCTGTTGGAAGGTGAAAATTCACCCCAGTCTGAGGTCCTGAGCACTCTGGAGCAGGTTTTCATCTCTCTGTACTTTGCTCCATTCATCTTTCCCTCGATCCTGACTAGTCTCCCAGTCCCTGCTGCTGAAAAACATCCCCACAGCATGATGCTGCATTCACCATGCTTCACCGTAGGGATGGTGCCAGGTTTCCTCCAGACGTGATGCTTGGCCTTCAAGCCAAAGAGTTCAATCTTGGTTTCAACAGACCAGAGAATCTTGTTTCTCATGGTCAGAGTCCGTTAGGTGCCTTTTGGCAAACTCCAAGCGGGCTGTCATGTGCCTTTTACTGAGGAGTGTCTTCCGTTTGGCCACTCTACCATAAAGGCCTGATTGGTGGAGTGCTGCAGAGATGGTTGTCCTTCTGGAAGGTTCTCCCATCTCCACAGAGGAACTCTGGAGCTCTGTCAGAGTGAGCATCGGGTTTTTGGTCACCTCCCTGACCGAGGCCCTTCTCCCCCGATTGGTCAGTTTGGCCGGGCGGCCAGCTCTAGGAAGAGTCTTGGTGGTTCCAAACTTCTTCCATTTAAGAATGATGGAGGCCACTGTGTTCTTGGGGACCTTCAATGTTGAAGACATTTTTTGGTACCCTTCCCCAGATCTGTGCCTCGACACAATCCTGTCTCTGAGCTCTACGGACAATTCCTTCAACCTCATGGCTTGGTTTTTGCTCTGACATGCACTGTCAACTGTGGGACCTTATATAGACCATTGTGTGCCTTTCCAAATCATATCCAAATCAATTTTATTTACCACAGGTGGACTCAAATCAAGTTGTAGAAACATCTCAAGGATGATCAATGGAAACAGGATTCACCTGAGCTCAATTTCAAGTCTTATAGCAAAGGGTCTGAATACTTATGTAAATAAGGTATCTGTTTTTTATTTTTAATACATTTGCAAAAATTCTAAAAACCTGTTTTTGCTTGGTCATTATGGGTTATTGTGTGTAGATTGATGAGGGGAAAAAATTATTTTATCCATTTTAGAATAAGGCTGTAATGTAACAAAATGTGGTTAAAGTCAAGGGGTCTGAATACTTTCCGAATGCACTTTAAATCGACTCGGATATGTGCATTAGCCATATTCTGGCACCATCTCTAGAGTAAATACAAGTTATTTTGTAGTGTCTTGCACTGTTCTAAGAATGTATCCGTTTCAACATAACAAATTCAGCTTTAATTGTACAACAGTACGGACGACATCAAAACACATGCCATGATTCTTTTTATTTTTTTTATAACCCATAACTTGATTTTGGGTGAATGATGACCAGGCCTGGTACATATCTGCAGGGTCCCAGTGTAACTGCTGTAACTGTAGAATGAATAATGGGTGAGGCCTCGCAATTCCCTTAATGCAACTGTGATTGAATAAAAGCCCACAGATAAAGCCTTAAAGCTAGAGGAAGGCTGTGTTTTCCTGTAAGCCACACCAACAGCTCTGCTTAGCCACATTGGCACCACCACGCCTTGCAGAGATCACAACACATCAGGTCAAAGCTAAAAAACACACACATTCACTCTGGGTCTAAATATGGCTTAATTGAGACTTGTGAAGAACTGTCATGGATTAAATAAAAAAACGCCTGGAAAACTAAGTTTCACAACGAAGCTGTGCCTTTTACTGGTCTTTGGAAAAAGTAGTGCTCAGCTGTTAATGTGACCTTTAGCATTACAATAACTAATAGTGTCTGCAGCTGCATATCTTTTACAAGATAATATACAGGTAACTGCCAGAACAGCTTCAATGCACCTTTGCATATATTATACAAGTGTCTGGAACTCTATTGGAGGGATGAAATGCCATTCTTCGACAAGGAATTCCATCATTTGGTGTTTTGTTGATGGTGGTGGAATTTGCTTTTTTTTTTTACACAAAGATTAGCAGAGCTGTCGATTGGGCATTTATGGATTTCATGAGTTCAAATATAACACCCATTGAGTACATTTGAATTGTTTTTCTACACAATAAGACAGAACAATGCAAATAAAAAAATGCCAAAAACAGTGCTAAAGAGTATTTTATAAGGAAATCTAGCGTCTGAAACTTCAGCACCATGGACAAGTCTTCGTGTGCTATAACAGCATAGGCTTCTCACAAGCTGTTACGGAACGCTTTCATGTTATCATTTCGAAATGGTAAAGCTCAAGCTGCCCAGTAATGGCATAACAAATACTATGAATAAAGTACATCTTTCATTTCTCGTTGTGGATTAATTATTTTTGTACTTATGAACTCACTGAGCAAAGCCTTTTTCATGAATATATAGCCTATCCTGTCCATGGATGATATTACGTAAATACTATACGTAAATAAAAACCACGTGCCTCAAAGATGTAAGGTTCGTGCTATCTGGGATCCTTAGGACGTCCCTACCCTAAACCCTACTCTTACCCTAACCCTAACCGTCTGACATTTCAACTTCAAAATTGGGCGGGGACGACGTCCCAAGGAACACAGATAGCAAGGACAAAAGATGCAACTCATAGCGCACATATTTCCTACGCACTGAACACGACATACTGTATGTACAGGTCGAGATTGCTTGACTGATTATGTAGTTTCTCAGCACAGCAAATTAACCTTACTCGAGGTGGCAGCGCTGTGCATTAAGCCCCTAGGGTGGTAACGTGACTCCCCCTGGCATATCAGCCCCTGTCCTCTATTCTCGTCCACCACATCGCCACAGAGGACGTCAAGATCGCATCCATCTTCAACTAGAAATGGTTTACAAACTATATCTGACCCAAGCAGCAATCCTCCCCGATTCCGTACGTATCCGCAAGGAGTCATTCAAATGCGCTGGTGTGCATGCTGGCTGAAGTGTACTCTAGTGAATTTGGGAAAGGTCATTTAAAGTGCAAGGTGAGTGCGCCGAGAATGATTTGTGACAAAGGAAATATCATCAAGAGGCAACAACAGTAACTTCAGGGTTTCATTGCGAAAGCGCCTTTACACAAGAGCACGGAATAATCATGCCTGTACGAAGAGGTCATGTTGCGCCACAAAATACATTTCTTGGAATAATAATACGGAAATTCGAGGGACAGAGTAAGTATACCATCCCTGGTATCCTCGTGTTAATCTAAAGTGTTGTTCTTGGCATTGTGGCGCTTGTGTTTTATTAGTCTGTTTGTGGGTATAGAGTTGGCATAAAGTTACATTTTTAAAGCTATTTGATCTTATGAATCAACATGCATATTTATCCATTTAAGAATGGATTTGTTAATTTTAAGAATGCGTTAGAGTAACACATCAAGCAGTGTCAAGAATGTATTATGTTATGCTCTAGTCTAAGTCAATCGCTGTTCTCAGAAATCAAGTGCTATTTGACAACTTCTCAAATTATACCACCTTTGTATTAATTATATCAAATACTGGACTGTCTTCAATTTACAAATACTCTTAAAATGTTCATAAACCTCCAATCTAGAGACTACATCCCAATTGGTTTGATAGCATTGTGTTTTTTTTTTCCTTTTTCTTGCAGATAGGAAATTTGTCATAGCCAATGCCCGGGTGCAGAACTGTGCAATCATCTACTGTAATGATGGCTTCTGTGAGATGACCGGCTACTCCAGATCGGACGTTATGCAGAAGCCGTGCACCTGTGAATTCCTCCACGGCGAGCACACTGACACACATGCCATCAGCCAGGTGGCCCAGGCTCTGATGGGCTCAGAGGAGCTCAAGGTGGAAATCACATATCATCGCAAAGATGGTGAGTCAGTGTCAACCGGGCCAGCAACAGAGAGGTGTTGTTATACACTAGGTGTGACATGCTGTCTCTGAGAAATCATAAGCTACAGTCTCGCCACAAGACGTCCACCTCAATATTTGAGTCCCAAATGGCACTCTATTCTCTATGTAGTGCACGACTATTGACTAGAGCCCTTTGGGTTCTAGTGCACTATAAAAGGGAATAGGGTGCCATTTGGGATGTAGACTTGTTTTGGTTATATGTGCTGATATCCTACTAGAGAGAATCGGTGAACACAGTAGAGATGAGGTTATACCGTTTTGACAGTGCACTTGACAGCGAGAAGTAATGAGAGCCTTTCTTTCCATTAAGAAAATGTCTCCATTGACCTGTGCAATAAATGTTCCTATTCATGTGGACGGAGCAAACAACATTTATAGGAAATGACTATCAATATCCATATTTCCTATCTATGTAGAATGTGGATCTTCCTTTGCATTTACTGAACTATGCTACTTTTTGAAAATATTGTATTTAGCTACCATCAATAACAATTTTGGTCTTAAACCATTATGGATATCATTGTTTTGATGAGGTATGATGTGAGAGAGTTTCAGCAAATGTTATTATACTCTAAGCGAGGAAGCAAGATAACCTTTGACAATGATCTCTGGCTTGATAAAAAAAAAAAAAAATGCCATTGCATAATGGAGGTGTAATCAGTGGCTTGGCAGACAATACCAGAAGACTGAACATTCCAATTTATTAAAGACCTTGGCATTGGAGAGGTATTATAGCAATATACAGCACCTAGGAGCATGAACCAGCATATTATCAATTTCCAATGTATTTTATGTATAGTAGAGACTGGCAGTGGCAAAATGGTAGTTTGTACCTTCTCTTAGTCCTACTGTGACTAAGATACATGCAGTAGAGAGAGTGGATCTTGACTCTGACAAGGTCAATGGGGCTTGGTCAGCTGCCATGACACAATAGGGAGTAGTGTGTTGTCTGTGACTGACAGAGGAAAGGAAAGTGCTGTCTCAGTTCACTCTAGAGCACAGTATACTGCGACTCACCTGCCTTCCTCCAAGGCTGTTCCAGACTATTTTAATGGGGATACGAATAGCTAACAGCGAATCAATGTAGTCTTGTTTCACAATGAAAATAAATCAATGAATGACTGCAGTATTTGCATGCCGTCCTATAAAATCTCTCAACAGTGGAGAGATGGGCCATGCCCAGCCACAACCCTTATAGAGAAATCTATGAGAGTCTGAACAAAATAATTCATCTAGTAATCAATGTACCATCATCAGAGTGGAACCAGGCTACATTCCAAATAGTACCATATTCCCTACATAGTGCACTACTTTTGACCAGAGCCCTATAGGCTGTGGTCAAAATTAGTGCACTATATAGCAAATAGGGCACCATTTGGGATGCGGCCCCAGCTTCAAAAAGGTGGGCTTTTCTGTTTTCCTCTCAATTTCTTTCCAACGCAAATTAGATCTAACTGTCAGTTCAGAGTTTTTCCCATAGAGATCATATTCTAATTCCTTATTCTATGGCTTTTCCTGACCATATGAACTGAGCAGGAAAAGGACATGTGAGTTGCCATACTGAGCTTATCCCTGTGAGGGGTGACACCAGGTCTCATTCTAACTGTACTGTACATTATGTCTATGAGGCATTGTTATTCAAGCATAAGGTCCTTGACTCCTCTAGATGTAATCCAAAAGCAGATGTTGTTATTATCTAGTCTATCCTTGTTTGACTGTTCTCGTGAGGACCTTCAGTCCCCTTTGGGTTCCATTTTCTTGGGCCACTATCTCCATATGGGTGGAGTTCTTTTTTAGCTTGACTCTAGACATGATATGAACCATAGTCAGTGCAGGCAGCAGTACTGCCGCCCTCTGTAAAGTTGCAGTGAATTAAAATGAAGTTGCTGCTCAATGACATAAATCTACAAATGTAATGCCACCTCCTGCCATTTTCAGGCAGTTTAGGTCAGTATAATTCACCCCTCAAAGTCAATGCAGGGATAGTATATGATGACAGGAAGGCAGGTTGTATTTTTTGTTCCCCCGGTTCACGGCAATAAAGAACGTTGAACCCAACTTATTGTCTGCTGTTCACTATACTGTGTACATGACTGTAGATTCACCGAAAACTTCCAATAGTTCCATTTGTTTTCTTCCAGCAGCAGCAGTCGTCAGCCTAGACATTTCTGCTAATCACGTGGAAATCAGAGCCAGATGCTCCTCGAGTAAGTCGAATAGATTGTTTTAGAATCCTGGAGAAAGACAATTACACAAAGTACTCTAGGGAGCCAGTGGTGAGGAGGACTCTTTGAACATGTACCATCTCTGAAGAGCAGGGTTTTAAAGTCACTTTAGTCCCTGTGTAGTTCTGTATAAACTCAATGTGTCAATCATGGTTAATAAGGAATGGGAGCAGAGTAAAAGCCATACAACACATTCAAACTTAATCATTACACGTTCTCTCTCTCCCTCCCTCGCTCCCTCCCTCCTGTGCCTCAAGACAGGACTCTTAATACTCCTCCGAGGAGTCTAGAGTGAGCCGCAGAGCTCATGAATAAAGATGTCAGCGATGACACTGCAGTGACTGGGAGTGAGCAGCTTACAGTGTAAATGCATTACAGGGCTATGGAAGGACACAATCCACAGGCTCCCATAGATGGGGACACAAATGCAAGATTCATGACATCCTTGAGAGCAATGGGCCTATCGACGCAAGTTGTTTGTCGTCTCCTCCTTTGACCCCATTTTGCTAAAGCATTTTGCTAAAGCATTTTGCTAAAGCCTATCACATTTCACCTAGTGTAAATGACATTAGAGACAGTGTTGACAGCATAGAGAAATAGTTGAGCATTAGGATGAATAGGCGATAGTGTCACGGCAGAGGAAATAGTAGGAAGTGTGGGTCTGACCAATATTAAATCATGACTCACAACTCGATGGTGTTAAACCTTAGGTGCTCTCTCCCTCTCACTGACTACAGGAGCACGATACTATCAAATGAATCATAGTCATGCAGACATGTTAGTATAAAACTGTAGATGGGAATAGTCATGCTTAATATAAGCATCTCCAATTGGGTTTTCATACTGTGTCATGTTCCCACTGTGGGGGGATCTTGAAATGCACTGTCAGTGTTTGAGAAAGCCCGGTGATGACATCATCAGCAACACATCTCTAGCTCTTTGCCCTGCAAAAAGCTGAAATGTTAAGCTGCTTATGTGTATGCTTCGAAATAAAGCAGAAGGACAATTAAGACCACAGTGAGATACACAGCCAAAACAGTCGCCACAGGGACATCATCTTTCATCTCGGTGTTGAACAGTAAATGGTTGCGAGAGGAGATAAATCCATAATCACGTCTTCCCTCTCAAAGAAGATTCCTAATCAATGAGATAAATACCTTCCTTTGCTGAGCTTTGTAAAACGATCCTATTCTGAGGGGTGTAATAATACTTTGGAACTGAATGAGTGAGAACAAAAGGAAGCTGACACTGAGCAGCATGCTGAAGTTAAATACATAACAGCCCCAGCATAGCTAGCCGTGCTGCTGAGGTATGCGTGGGTGCAGGGTTTCAAAGGTGACTCCCCTTTGAGGAGCTGAAGGGCCGTCTCCCCCCGCTGCAGGGTGATGGGGAGGAGGGAGACGACCCTTCAGGGGGGGACACAGGGAACCCACAGTTGGCTGCTGCGGGAGACCTGGATGGCTGCGCTCAAAAATAGGTGCATGCATTTTTTATTGATCTTAGCCTCTTTGGTTACTCCCAGTATGTCGCAAAACACATTTAGTGTTTGCCAAGGTCAGATGTTTATTAGTTAATGATTGGATGAAATTAAAACATATCAGGTTTTAATTAGATTAGTAGATTTTGTAGAAGTCTTCAATAAAATGAGCCTGGTTTATTCTCCAAAGATATAAATGCTGTTCTAGACAGGCTCTCTGTAATTATCATCTGACAAAAAGCTAATTAACACTGAATTGGTAGCAGATGGAGTATTGGACAGCACATCACGAACACACGCCTCGGCCAGTCGCCCTACATATCCACATATGAATTCATATCTCCATTTCATGGGGGACCCTGTTGAATCCAATCCAACGGCCACCAAACCATCTGGTTTACTTCCAATTAGCTTTTGCCAGTAATTAGCTATTTCAGCCCATTGGATGACAACTATCAGCTAGCTGGCTAGCTAGCAAAACACATACAGTAAGATGCACTTGAAATTGGTGTTCATCTTGATGACTTGGAGGACACTGATTAAAGATGAAAGTAGGCCATGATGACTAGCTTAGGGCTGTCTAACACAGGCGAGATATGGCCACATGGCCAACAGACTCCAAACAAAGGGTTAGTATGCCTTCCCTCCCCTTACATATTCCCCTCTTGATTGGCTATGCCCCAGTGCGGTTGTGTATGGCCTCCGCAACACAGCCCTGCAACAACCATGTCACATTGTATTAGCACGATAACTATGGAGAGTGTCATGACTCATGTATAGCCTGCTCCATCTGGAACTGCTGTTTTTCTCTCTAAATGTTGTGATTCATAGCAAGCATAAAAAATGAAGATCAGTGTTAAATGTCTTTAATATGGGAATGTTTCTCCCTCATTGCACTAGCAACCCCATTTAACCTTAAGACGAGTCTGCTGAACAAAATAACAAAAACGTGTGCCTATATCAATTTTGTTTTCATTAATATAATGTACCCATAAACATCCTAAATAGTATGAGTGAGCACTGAAGATCATATGTTAAAAAAAAGAGATGGGAAGCACTGCTCATTACTAACTGTCCTAACCCCTTTAAAAATAATTTTAGACTTCTCTTTCTCGTAAGAATGCTTCTGTACAGAGAAGTATTTCAAGACTAAGAGCATCACACAGCTGTAGACCTTTAGCAATCAATAATGGCTTGATTAGCAGCCATATTTTCAATTATTGATGGTGGAAATAGAATCTAATGAAATTTCCATCATCTTGAAATGGGAACGGATATCAATACAGCACTGTATCTATGTATTCACACAGGCACAATACTTCTACTTGACTGGCAAGACATTGACCTTGTGCAGTCATTGGTAAGGAATAATATATATTTTTATCCATACTTGAAAAGCGTTGAAAGGAAAATGATAGTTTGCAATGTGATGTACGGTCATCATGTGTACAGTATGCAAAGTAACAGTAATTCAGATATATCTGAAGACTTCACTTACTATTGTCAACACATTGAATATAGAGTAAATTAAGAATACATTTCCCTTATCAGCTTTGTCTCTTTACAGACTTTTGGGAAAATTTGAAATTATAAGACTATCAAATCGTTCAGTTACAACATTATTTTCCTAAACCTAATATCTGTGCATCTTATAAATTACACAATTGCTTTGCCCACTGAGCTTATGCATTCATAGTCAGCTTGATAAAAGCTTTTTCCATGACAGGTGTATTATCCTTAAAGGTCACAATATCACTAAGATCTGCATTCCTCTGTGGCCTGGAATCTGACATTCAATGGGACCAAGGTAAAAGCGCTGGAAATCTCATTTGACCTTCTGCGAGTCTGAAGACAGTGATCATGCTGGGGGGCTGAGAGAGCACCTTAGGGGGTGAAGGGGCTGCTAGGGTGACACTTGAAGTGAAACTTGAACCCACCAACTGGAATTGATGATAGACATCCAATCACTGGTAGAGACACTAATGTACACTATTAGACCTTTGGATTCTCCTGAATCTACCACTTTCAATTATCCCAACCTGCCTGCAAATGATCTACAACTCACAGAGGGAGGAGGTGTTAACTTGGTCGTATTCGTTAGTGCACACCATCTTTCTTATTGGACAAGTTCAGTTAGTCCCTCCCCGTTTCAGTCAGTTGTTTTCCATTTGGTGCCTAGTGAATACAACCCTGTACACAACTAATGACACACTCATTTAGGATATGTATAGCACTGAATAACACATCTTAAACCATAGGTCAAATGCACCACTAAATGCTCTTATTGCACATTTCTCAGTGCTTTTTAGTGTGATTTACCACCAACCTGAGAGGTGCACATACTGTACGCAACACTGTTTATTCTGGCAGCTTTCCACAATCATGCACGTAGTCTGATTTGATCCGTGTCCTGGCAGAGGGAATGAACTGGGGAATTCTCTATTCAATCAACACACCAGAGTCTGTCTGCCATAACAATCCTTCCTAATGACAATGAAAGGATGTGAATAGTCTCCTGACCACATGAAACCAGGAGTAGGAAATGATTGGAGTAAGCATGTGTTTGTGCATTTGTGTGTATGTTAACATTGTAACGTTAAACCATCTTATAATATGATAGAATCATCTTGAGATCACATGACTAGGCTGGATGTATCACCAGAACATCATAAATATCTAAAATGATGATTCGGATTCTGCCATTCATCGCCCCAGTGGAGGTAAAAGGAGGATGTTGGCTAACATACACCTGAGTAGAGGTGACTTTCAGCGGGGGAGGAGGCACCCAAATAGGGACCCAAATAGCTCAGCCTTTTAGCAGGGTATTGTTTTCCCATCTGGTAAGTTAAATCAATTCCCAAACATGCTTCCGCTGAATCATACTGGCCCCCTCTTGGGTCCAAATGGGTCTCCTCTTTCCTGCTGCATTTTCTTTACTCTGCTCACACAGTAGCTAGTTTCCACAGATCTAAAACGTGATGCAATGTGAAACATTCATGTATGCCAACTAACAGATACAAGATCCGTGTATACACTGAATAATTTATTGCTGAGATAGATGTCTAAGTATATGAATAGGGGTAATTTCCATCATGTAATTGTGGGGAATCCTAAATGCAGTTAACTAAAATCGATGAATGATTAATGATTAAAAGCAATGACGAGCAGTATTGATATCAGAGGAGATGAGTGAGGAGTTTTGTACACCAGACTTTGTTATAACCCATACCAGATGAAGGTGCTACACTTATTACCAATACCCCACAATTACAATAATTGTGATATGTGGTTGACTTACCTAGCTATTTTAAGTTGAATGCACTGACTTTAAGTCGCTCTGGATAAGAGTGTCTGCTAAATGTAAAAATAAAAATCCAATAAAAATGTAAATGTTATTCACAGTTTTGGAAATAAAATATTGTTGTGAAGAATGGTCATTCCATGGGGGCTGCTGATGCACGGAGGCATCCTATTAAAGTCTGACGTGTAAATGCAGTCCAACAGAGGTTTGTTATATTTAATCAGACAGACAGCCTACTGCTAATGAATGTGACTGGCAGTGTGGATGTGAGATCCAGCTCTGAGGAGATTACTGTGAACACTGGTAATGTGTCCTCTGCTAGCCTGGCTGGTAGACGGGGAGAGACACATTTGCATAGGGACGGATGGGCATCTTTTGATATTTTTTGCGTATTGCTTATTATTGCACATCAGGTGTTCTACCTAGAAGAGCAGCAGATGTGTGGCTTGTTTTATGAGGGCAGCGAGACTCTGGGAGAAATGGAGTCCCATTGATGAAAGGTTTTATTTCTGTCTAGAAGTGATGCTTCTACTCTGCATGACTCTGAATTAGTCTGAACCTGCTTTTTACAATTCAATGATAATGCCGATGGCATTATAATGCAGTGGGAGATATAGGGTTATGGAGATATAGGGTTATGGAGGCTGCACTAGGAGATTAGGGCTGGAAAATCAACAGTTGATCTAATGACAGATTTAGCCACCAGATAAATCGACATCATCAGTGGCAAGGCTGTATTAATTTTTAAACCATGTATATAGGCATCAGGAGACCACCCTCAACCTCCTGGCCCTCCATTTTCTGATGACAATGTGCGCTTATGAAATTATTTTCTTTGCGATAAGAACTGCAGTGGTCCATGTTTGCTGTGATGTAGTGTACTATAAAATAGATGGCTCTCCTATTCCTACCACCTTGCCCAGTCATATTCAAGGTTAGAACTACTTTTCTAGGGGTTCTGATGCTTCTAACCTTGATTTGCATTTTGATAACATACAGTATCTACAGTATTTCACTTTTTAATGTGTATAGTATTGCTTACTAGGTGTTGTCCAATGAATTCTGCAACCACTCCCTCTTCAAATCAGGGTTGATTAGAAGAAGCTGTTCAAAAGAGGATATTGCATTATCATATCTTTGTACTCCCTGACGAAGGCCATGCAGCCGAAATGCATCAGTTTTTACTCTTTGTTTCCATTGAACATGCAATACAAACAAAGGCATTTTAATTAATTATATGAAGAGTGCCTTGGTCTTCCTTTCTTTTGAAGGAATGCCTCTTATTCAAATTATATAGCCGCACAAACATACATAGTTTATACTTGTTTATATGGAAGGACCCTTAACATTTCAGTATTTATTTCTGTATACGATGCCTTTCTGAGAAGCTTGTTTGGTATCCTTTGAAATAAGTGAGCAACACAATTTTCCTGACATTGATGCACTACCGAGGCCTCGGGGAAGCTGGCCTAACATATTGCACCGGCTCTAAATAGATTGGAGGACCCTAAGGAATCGAAACCCATTTTTCCTGTATCATCATTATTGTTGGTAATTAGGTTGTAGTGCAGCTTTAGCATATGTGTTATAACTAATTGACACAGAATTCAGCCGAGTTGAGCTAACTGGAAGAGCACAGTCAGTTTCACTTAAAAAGGTGCTGATGGCGTTGTCAACTTTTTCTTCCTTTATTATTACAGCAAGTCTCAGCTATAGCATGTGAAGCATTCAGACTGGCAGATTGTTGTTGTTTTGATGTAGTGTCTCCAGCAGTGCTGAAATCATTTGCAATCTGTTAAAACCCTACTAAGTTCTGGTGTGGATATTCTGATCGTTTTTAGGGGTTTGCGTGACATTTGAAAGATTCAAACAGGCAACATTTGCTGTCATGTACAAAATATTTAGTATGACCATTACCTAATGTAACACTGATTTGGTGCTGAGATTATTAAGCTTTGATTAAATGTTGCATTCAATGTTTTGCATATACTATATTGTAGCCTAACTGTTTCAGTTTCCATAAAACACACATTCACTGGGTGGGGGTCGGTTGTTTTTCTTGCTCCATTCTGCCTGGAGAAATTCAACCCAAGGTACTGATCCTTCTATAATCCAGTCAGTGCATTCCAGATATTGCCACCTTATGGGCATAAGAAAGGGACTTTGTCTCAAATGGCAGCCTATTCCCTAGTGCACTACTTTTGACCGGGGACGCAGCCAAGGTCTTGATAGTGGATTTTTCCTGCACTTGAGGAGGCAGCTCAGCAGTAGTGGGTCTGGTATGACCCACTACAAACCCTGAGAGTTGACTCTGTTCCAAGCATAGTCCTGTCAGTCTTATGTGTGCATTGTAAATTATACCCTTTTCCCTGTATAGTGCACTGCTTTTTACCAGAGCCCTATGAACCCTAGTCAAAAGTAGTGCACTATAAAGGGAATAGGGTACCATTTGGGCACATTCTATGTGTGCAATGTGAAGCTCTGGCCTGTGTGCTGTAGCCAGGATGGGCTGAGGGCAACATGACCATGTTTCACCTCTGGGCCTTTTATCACATAAAAGCACGCTATAAGGTGCTCTCTTGACCAGTCTGTGTCCATGTCAAATCAGCAAACTGCCTTACTATCATAAAGCTAGGGAATTCATGATGAACACTTAGCACTAAGAGAGGTGTTAGCAACATGACATTACAATATCAATATTGCTAGTGGAAAAATAATAATTGGAATAATAATCATCCCTCTAAGTATTGCCGTCTAGGTGTTGAAGTAATTTTTTGCAGGACACTTTTTTCTCTCCTCGGAAGCTTTAGAAAAAATCCAAATCTCAACATTATATTATTATTAAAAAGGAGCCTTCTCAGGTACAGTAGCAGGCATCCATCTTAGAATGGGTTAGAAGTTATACTGTAGTGGAGCTCAACTATGGAAGGAGAAGATGAGGTGCATTAGCTTTTAGACATGACAGGTTTATTATTTCTTACAGGGACGGACTTCCAGTGCTACACTCACATAATCCCGGTGAAGAACGAGGAAGGCGTAGTGATGTTGTTCATTCTAAACTTTGATTACGTACTTGAGGAAGGAAGCAGCGACTCGACAGAGAAGCTGAATCACTCATCCCCGGAAAGAACTGATTCCAGTGAGTATCCAGATTCCTGCCCTGTATATGTCTGCTGGTAATGTGGTGTTACCTTTGTTTTGTACTGAAATGTAATGTTTCATCCCAAATGGCACCCTATTTCCTATATAATTCACTACATTTGACCCTGGTCAAAAGTAGTGCACTATATAGGGAATAGGGTTCCATTTAGGACACAGCCTATGTAATGATGTAAGACTGCAGCTAGATCAGAGGAAGCTCATCCCATTGGAAGTCCTAACTGACTTTCCAGTCCACTAATAGAAGTGCCTTCCTTCCAGTTCCCAAAGACACACTCCTCTTCAATAGAAGGGCAATTGCACATATGGATTCTACTAATTGTGATTATTCATTCTATCCTCATCTACATCTGCAAGAGGCTAATTAAGCAAATCAGAGAGATTCAAATCCAAATTCCTGGAACAAATGTAGCTTAAAGAAACTGTCCAGTGTTTCCAGATTTTATGACATATGACCTATAATTAATAACAATATGAGTGAAATAGTTTTCTTTAAAAAAAATTGTAATTATGTACAGTGCCAGTCAAAAGTTTGGACACACCTACTCATTCAAGGGTTTTTCGTTATTATTACTATTTTCTACATTGAACCTATGTTATACATTTCTTACCTCCTGTTTTAGGAACTGAGAACTGCTCCTATATATAGGACCTTCCACCCCCAACTGGGATATGGATGCCTGATGAAGACCTAAGGGTCGAAACGTTGTTATAAATAAATATCACCTGGGAGGATGAGCAGCATTGTGCAGCGTTTTCCTTTCTGTTTTTCATGAATTTGCCTACAACTCCAGCACCTGCGGAAAGTACCTGGATGTGCCTATGTCCTTCAGCTTTTGTAGAATGATAGTGAAGACATCAAAACTATTAAATAACACATATGGAATCATGTAGTAACCAAAAAAGTGTTAAACAAATCAAAATATATTTAATATTTTAGATTCTTCAAAGTAGCCACCCGTTGCCTTGATGACAGCTTTGCACACTCTTGGCATTCTCTCAACCAGCTTCACCTGAATGCTTTTCCAACAGTCTTGAACGAGTTCCCACATATGCTGAGCACTTGTTGGCTGCTTTTCCTTCACCATGAAGGCCTGATTTACGCAGCCTCCTCTGAACAGTTGATGTTGAGATGTGTCTGTTACTTGAACTCTGTGAAGCATTTATTTGGGCAGCAATCTGAGGCTGGTAACTCTAATGAATTTATCCTCTGCAGCAGAGGTAACTCTGGGTCTTCCTTTCCTGTGGTGGTCCTCATGAGAGCCAGTTTCATCATAGCGCTTGATGGTTTTTGCGACTGCACTTGAAGAAACGTTCAAAGTTCTTGAAATGTTCCGTATTGACTGACCTTCATGTCTTAAAGTAATGATGGACTGTCGTTTCTGTTTGCTTATTTGATCTGTTCTTGCCATAATATGGACTTGATATTTTACCAAATAGGGCTATCTTCTGTATACCACCCCTACCTTGTCACAACACAATTGATTTGCTGAAACGCATTAAGCAGGAAAGAAATTCCACAAATTAACTTTTAACAAGACACACCTGTTAATTGAAATGCATTCCAGGTGACTACCTCATGAAGCTGGTTGAGAGAATGCCAAGAGTGTGCAAAGCTGTCATCAAGGCAAAGGGGGGCTACTTTGAAGAATCTAAAATCTAAAATATATTTTAGATTTGTCTAACACTTTTTTGGTTACATGATTCCATGTGTTATTTCATAATTTTGATGTCTTCACTATTATTCTACAATGTAGAAAATGGTAAACATAAAGAAAAACACTTGAATGAGTAGGTGTGTCCAAAGTTTTGACTGGTACTGTATGTTAAAAATAAGCTTTTATGTGTCTGAATGTTGTGGGCATATACAGTGGGGGAAAAAAAGTATTTAGTCAGCCACCAATTGTGCAAGTTCTCCCACTTAAAAAGATGAGAGAGGCCTGTAATTTTCATCATAGGTACACGTCAACTATGACAGACATAATGAGAAAAAATCCAGAAAATCACATTGTAGGATTTTTAATGAATTTATTTGCAAATTATGGTGGAAAATATGTATTTGGTCAATAACAAAAGTTTCTCAATACTTTGTTATATACCAGGTCAAACGTTTTCTGTAAGTCTTCACAAGGTGTTCACACACTGTTGCTGGTATTTTGGCCCATTCCTCCATGCAGATCTCCTCTAGAGCAGTGATGTTTTGGGGCTGTCGCTGGGCAACACGGACTTTCAACTCCCTTCAAAGATTTTCTATGGGGTTGAGATCTGGAGACTGGCTAGGCCACTCCAGGACCTTGAAATGCTTCTTACGAAGCCACTCCTTCGTTGCCCGGGCGGTGTGTTTGGGATCATTGTCATGCTGAAAGACCCAGCCACGTTTCATCTTCAATGCCCTTGCTGATGGAAGGAGGTTTTCACTCAAAATCTCACGATACATGGCCCCATTCATTCTTTCCTTTACACGGATCAGTCGTCCTGGTCCCTTTGTAGAAAAACAGCCCCAAAGCATGATGTTTCCACCCCCATGCTTCACAGTAGGTATGGTGTTCTTTGGATGCAACTCAGCATTCTTTGTCCTCCAAACACGACGAGTTGAGTTTTTACCAGAAAGTTCTATTTTGGTTTCATCTGACCATATGACATTCTCCCAATCCTCTTCTGGATCATCCAAATGCACTCTAGCAAACTTCAGACGGGCCTGGACATGTACTGGCTTAAGCAGGGGGACACGTCTCGCACTGCAGGATTTGAGTCCCTGGCGGCGTAGTGTGTTACTGATGGTAGGCTTTGTTACTTTGGTTCCAGCTCTCTGCAGGTCATTCACTAGGTCCCCCTGTGTGGTTCTGGGATTTTTGCTCACCGTTCTTGTAATCATTTTGACCCCACGGGGTGAGATCTTGCGTGGAGCCCCAGATCGAGGGAGATTATCAGTGGTCTTGTATGTCTTCCATTTCCTAAAAATTTCTCCCACAGTTGATTTCTTCAAACCAAGCTGCTTACCTATTGCAGATTCAGTCTTCCCAGCCTGGTGCAGGTCTACAATTTTGTTTCTGGTGTCCTTTGACAGCTCTTTGGTCTTGGCCATAGTGGAGTTTGGAGTGTGACTGTTTGAGGTTGTGGACAGGTGTCTTTTATACTGATAACAAGTTCAAGCAGGTGCCATTAATACAGGTAACGAGTGGAGGACAGAGGAGCCTCTTAAAGGAGAAGTTACAGGTCTGTGAGAGCCAGAAATCTTGCTTGTTTGTAGATGATCAAATACTTATTTTCCACCATAATTTGCAAATAAATTCATAAAAAATCCTACAATGTGATTTTCAGGATTTTTTTCCCCTCATTATGTCTGTCATAGTTGACGTGTACCCATGATGAAAATTACAGGCCTCTCTCATCTTTTTAAGTGGGAGAACTTGCACAATTGGTGGCTGACTAAATACTTTTTTCCCCCACTGTATATCGCTCATAAAAAATATTCATGCGAGTACACTGCTGATTGGCCAGCTCAGCCAATGAGCCAACATTACATCATGTTCGATGTCGGAAATAGCAAGCATTTTTTAAACAGTCTGTTTGAGATACAAGTTTGAGGTGTTTGTTTTTAAAGTGTTTTCACCAATTTATGGTTTGGTCACAAATATGAGTATAGGACGAGTCAACAACATGATTTGGGTATGAGTTAACAGAATATTAACTTTTAAAAGTGATGTTCACTGGACAGTTACTTTAACATCTGAAAGACAGATCACTAGATTGTGTTTCTCTTCACAAGTCAACTGAATAGAAATCTGAACCTAATAGATAATGGGCTGTTTTTCTATCTATCTATATATACAGTGGGGAGAACAAGTATTTGATACACTGCCGATTTTGCAGATTTTCCTACTTACAAAGCATGTAGAGGTCTGTAATTTTTATCATAGGTACACTTCAACTGGGAGAGACGGAATCTAAAACAAAAATCCAGAAAATCACATTGTATGATTTTTAAGTAATTAATTTGCATTTTATTGCATGACATAAGTATTTGATACATCAGAAAAGCAGAACTCAATATTTGGTACAGAAACCTTTGTTTGCAATTACAGAGATCATACGTTTCCTGTAGGTCTTGACCAGGTTTGCACACACTGCAGCAGGACTTTTGGCCCACTCCTCCATACAGACCTTCTCCAGATCCTTCAGGTTTCGGGGCTGTCGCTGGGCAATACGGACTTTCAGCTCCCTCCAAAGATTTTCTATTGGGTTCAGGTCTGGAGACTGGCTAGGCCACTCCAGGACCTTGAGATGCTTCTTACGGAGCCACTCCTTAGTTGCCCTGGCTGTGTGTTTCGGGTCGTTGTCATGCTGGAAGACCCAGCCACGACCCATCTTCAATGCTCTTACTGAGGGAAGGAGGTTGTTGGCCAAGATTTCGCGATACATGGCCCCATCCATCCTCCCCTCAATACGGTGCAGTCGTCCTGTCCCCTTTGCAGAAAAGCATCCCCAAAGAATGATGTTTCCACCTCCATGCTTCACCTCCATGCTTCACGGTTGGGATGGTGTTCTTGGGGTTGTACTTCTTCTTCCTCCAAACACGGCGAGTGGAGTTTAGACCAAAAAGCTATATTTTTGTCTCATCAGACCACATTACCTTCTCCAATTCCTCCTCTGGATCATCCAGATGGTCATTGGCAAACTTCAGAAGGGCCTGGACATGCGCTGGCTTTAGCAGGGGGACCTTGCGTGCGCTGCAGGATTTTAATCCATGACGGCGTAGTGTGTTACTAATGGTTTTCTTTGAGACTTTGGTCCCAGCTCTCTTCAGGTCATTGACCAGGTCCTGCCGTGTAGTTCTGGGCTGATCCCTCACCTTCCTCATGATCATTGATGCCCCACGAGGAGAGATATTGCATGGAGCCCCAGACCGAGGGTGATTGACAGTCATCTTGAACTTCTTCCATTTTCTAATAATTGCGCCAACAGTTGTTGCCTTCTCACCAAGCTGCTTGCCTATTGTACTGTAGCCCATCCCAGCCTTGTGCAGGTCTACAATTTTATCCCTGATGTGCTTACACAGCTCTCTGGTCTTGGCCATTGTGGAGAGGTTGGCGTCTGTTTGATTGAGTGTGTGGACAGGTGTCTTTTATACAGGTAACGAGTTCAAACAGGTGCAGTTAATACAGGTAATGAGTGGAGAACAGGAGTGCTTCTTAAAGAAAAACTAACAGGTCTGTGAGAGCCGGAATTCTTACTGGTTGGTAGGTGATCAAATACTTATGTCATGCAATAAAATGCAAATTAATTACTTAAAAATCATACAATGTGATTTTCTGGATTTTTGTTTTAGATTCCGTCTCTCACATTTGAAGTGTACCTATGATAAAAATTACAGACCTCTACATGCTTTGTAAGTAGGAAAACCTGCAAAATCGGCAGTGTATCAAATACTTGTTCTCCCCACTGTATATATATATATATATATATTCAGCTGCTTCCATAGGATGAATGGATACAGATGCCTTTTTACCGGCGGGAGAGCTTTTGCATGGCCTTTTTTATTCCACAATTTATTTGGCCTCTGTCATTGTGGAATATTGGCATCTCTTTATTTTGCTTCAGCTGTGCTTATTTTTAGATGAGAACAAAGCAGTGGTATTTGAACTGGGGGCCGTGTCTCTTTACCATCTTCTCCACTGCTGTGTGTCAGAGGGTGTAAATGTCAACAAGACATCTCTGCTTGCTCCTGATTTGGAGGTGCCGAGCATCTCCTCTCACTGAGCAAGGCAGAGCCATCCGCACGTTCAGCATGAATCCTGAACACTGCACTGCACCCAAGGCGGTGGGGGTTGTGTGCGTGTCCTCTGTGTGTGTCGTGTGCGTGTTGTGGGTGTCATCTGTGTGTGCATCATCTGTGTGTGTGTTAGTGTGTGTGTGTGTTCATAACGCCACTGATCAGAGCTGATTGCTTGCTTTCATGCTAAAGGTCTTCACTGAGGGGAACAAACGCCACAGAAGGAAGGGACAGATAAGCATCTGGTGTGATCGATCAGCAGATTCCTCACCACAAGCACACTTATGACCAGTGCTTTATCCATTTTATGCATAGGCTTGCTGTTATTGGCCTCATATAAATATGCTTTCCTTGCAAAGTGATTTTGGGGGCAATGGGGAACTAATTATGAGCCTATGCATACTGTCTCCAGGTATCATAGCAACTAGCACAATAGTACGAGCAAAGGAGAGAATAATCCCTTCTTCACAGTCTGCACACAGAACCCCCTTCTCAGCATTTTCAAGATGCCATCAAGACCTGAGCAAATAGAAGTAAAAAATTACCAGGAAAAGTGATGCGTTGGACCGTATGAAAATGAATCTTTCCTCAATGCTATTTATAAGGAAATGACGGTGGTATAGATTCACATAAAATACAATACATTATTTGAATTTAGGACTTAATTGTCAGCTAAATTCACTGGGTGCAACCAAGAGCTTTTCTTCCTCTTTGAACCATTTAATTCTAATTTCATACAGAGTTATTGCGACGGATTAATAGCTGCTGTATGAAATGGAAAATGAATGTGTTTAGAGCAAATGACGCCTAGAAGGCTTAGTGGTATAATAGAGAAAGAGTACCACATGCTCTCTCTTTCTTCCCAATGGAAATAAATACTGTACAGTAGTGGGGATGAAACTAAAAGCATATTCTAAATTTAATTCCCTGTCTTCTTGCTTCTGTATTGCTTCTATATCCTGTTCCTTTGACATTTCTACAAAACACACAGGAACTGTGTTCTACATAAGTACATTTTGACATAAGCAGGAGTAAAATACTAAAACAGCCATTATTAATTCAGAAGGCTCAGTGAGGATCAAGTGCTCTCTGCCCTACCATTCATAAATCAACAGCTTCTATCTGCATTCATACAAAGCATGTGTCAGAGCTCGTGAAGGAGGCCTTGTCTGGTGATGCTGGGTTTACAGCTTGATGTCATTTGCATACAGATTAAACCAGTGAGAGGAGGAAAGCAGCAATAAATCCATTAGGCTACTACAAAAAAACTGTATGTAGGCTTGCAAAATGTTGGTAACTTTCCCACATTTCTTTCCCCAATATCCTGTTTGGAGGATTCCGGATTTCCTTCTTATTTCCTGCTGATTCCGGGAATCTTCCATCTGGGATTTCATGAAATTTTCGAAAAGCTACCAGAACTTTGCAACCCTAACTTTATACTTCTGGAACTTGGAGTTCACCTGAAACAAGCAGCCCTCTACTTTCCTCTGGCATCTCAGATTATTGTAAATCAATACACCTACTGTGATGAGGTGATGTTGAAGGAGTCAGGCGCAGGAGGGTAAATCACAGAATAACAGGCTGTATTCCGCAAATACAGGGTTACACAGAAATGCGTCAAACACTCTAGTGCGCAAAACAAGCGCACTGGAAAATACAAGGCACACAGGGAAGTATCCCGGCGATACAAAATACACGGAGCTCCACCGAGCTTCACTATCCTCCACAATAAACAATCACACACAAAGACAAGGGGGCAGAGGGAACACTTATACAGGTACTGATGAGGGGATATGAACCAGGTGTGTGTAATAAACAAGACAAAACAAATGGAATGATGAGATGAGGAGCGGCAGTGGCTAGAAGGCCGGTGACGACGAACGCCGAAGCTTGCCCGAACAAGGAGAGGTGGCAGCTTCGGAGGAAGTCGTGACACCTACAGTAGAGACGCTGAGGCATCTATTCCTATGTCCATAAAGAAGGCAGGTCAAAATTGCAGATTTTCTGCCATTAGGGGCTATTTCAGTGGCCTGTCCAGGGGCCCTGTTGAGTGTGATGGCTTTATTGTGTATTAGGGTTGTAACATAAGCAAATGTGGTTGGGGAATGGAAACAGATGGCAGTGACATGATGCAAGGAGGGTGCTGAACGATGGCTGCCTCATATTTATGAGTGAGCCTGGGGCTCACTTTCACCCCTTCTATTGTTAATGAACCCAAACTACAGTTCCCTCACCGTTTTTATATGTGCCTGTGTGTCCACTCTGAAGACTTTACTGGACAGTGGACACACATGAGATACTGGACACACCATCTCAGTTAAATTAAGGAAGGAGATTCATTTTACGTTGTGTTTCCACTTATAACCTTGAACGCGATATGATACATTATGATACGCTGCGGCGTACGCCAATAGATAGTGCCCATTTATCAAAGTTTAATTTCTTAATCATCAAATAAGAAAGAACACTATGACAGGCGTAACAGCAGTATACACACTATGCACCGAGGGGTAATGGGGCGATCAAGGTTATTCAGTCACGTACCATTAAATGCCATTGGATTAGAGGTCGATTCTCCTGCTTTCTGCTTTCTCTGTTTGATCATGAACACATAAGGTAATCCAATTATAGAATTCCACACAATCAGAGAAATGAAAGTGCACCTTCCAGCTCAAAGAACAGTAATGACATTTGCATTCATTGAAAATGTGACTGAATTGACTAAAGAGTTGTTGCTATTGCTATGCTTTAGATCTTTTACATTTTATGTTATACAGTCAAAATCATAATTTCTCATCATTTAATCATTTGATTGTTTAATGCAGGAATAAACACGTCCAACATTTTCTGTTGTTTAGGAAAGGGACGATTCTTCAGATTCCGCCAGGCTGCCTTGAGTCTGGTCTCCAACAAACAGTCTCTTCCACAAGAAGACCCAGATGCCGTCATGGTGGACTCCCTCTCCCCCAAACAGAACGAGGACTCAGTGGCTCTGACCAACTTCCAGTCGCCCCTGACCGAGGACAACTGCAGCCCCACCGATGCCAACGACACACGGGCCCTCATCAGCTCCAGCCACCAGTCCTCCCAGGCCAGTGTGCATGAACCCGGACCCCTGGACCACTCCTCACCCAAGCAGCACCCGTGGGACAGGCTGTACCAGACGGAGGCGCACCAGTCCACCACCTGCCTGGCTCACACCATCTCCAGAGGCAGCATCAGCAGGAGCAGCATGAGGCGAGCCTCCTCCGTCCACGACATAGAAGGCTTCAGTAACTCCAAGAGCATATTCAGGGACCGACACGCGAGTGAAGGTAAAGTAGGAGGATGAAATGTCTAACGAAAGCTTTGTGGTCCCTAGATTTCGAATGGGGACAGAGCTATTATCATCTTTGTGTCCTGTGAGAGCTCCTTGCTCAGGAATTGTGTATTATAGTATACTATTACAGATCTATGCCAGCATTATTTGCATCCACACTATTTCTGTCTTCTCTCTTCCTCTCACCACTATGACGCTGCTTTTAGACAATGGTCGCTATATCAGAGGTAACGATGTGTTCCCTGACCATGCTTGTCGTGCATTGGACTGTTTGAAGCATGTATCCCAATCAAGCCAATTGACCACAATGAGTGATGATGATTTCTCCCTGAAATTCTACTCTCAATGAAGTGCTGCACTTGAGAATGTGTTATGACTGAGACAGTTGAGTGCTTTTGTCATGTCAGCTATTTTAAATGTCTTTAGATGATTGATCAACACCTCCTGAATGAAAGCCTGCTGCCTCCACTGAGTGCTAATATTGCCATCCCCACCCAACCCAACACCTGCATGAAAGAAAGCTATTTTGCTTTCTTGGGGGGGAATCAGTGGTCACTATGCTCTGTCTGCTTCCCATGAGTTTCCCTGATCACCAACGCCAACCATCATCAAATATGTGATGTTTGGCTAACTGCTACAGCTTTGACCTCTGTCCACGTACTACACTGCTCAAAAATTAAAGGGAACACTAAAATAACACATCCTAGATCTGAATGAATGAAATAATCTTATTAAATACTTTTTTCTTTACATAGTTGAATGTGCTGACAACAAAATCACACAAAAATTATCAATGGAAATCAAATGTATCAACTCATGGAGGTCTGGATTTGGAGTCACCCTCAAAATTAAAGTGGAAAACCACACTACAGGCTGATCCAACTTTGATGTAATGTCCTTAAAACAAGTCAAAATGAGGCTCAGTAGTGTGTGTGGCCTCCACGTGCCTGTATGACCTCCCTACAACACCTGGGCATGCTCCTGATGAGGTGGCGGATGGTCTCCTGAGGGATCTCCTCCCAGACCTGGACTAAAGCATCCGCCAACTCCTGGACAGTCTGTGGTGCAACGTGGCGTTGGTGGATGGAGCGAGACATGATGTCCCAGATGTGCTCAATTGGATTCAGGTCTGGGGAACGGGCGGGCCAGTCCATAGCATCAATGCCTTCCTCTTGCAGGAACTGCTGACACACTCCAGCCACATGAGGTCTAGCATTGTCTTGCATTAGGAGGAACCCAGGGCCAACCGCACCAGCATATGGTCTCACAAGGGGTCTGAGGATCTCATCTCGGTACCTAATGGCAGTCAGGCTACCTCTGGCGAGCACATGGAGGGCTGTGCGGCCCCCCAAAGAAATGCCACCCCACACCATGACTGACCCACCGCCAAACCGGTCATGCTGGAGGATGTTGCAGGCAGCAGAACGTTCTCCACGGCATCTCCAGACTCTGTCACGTCTGTCACATGTGCTCAGTGTGAACCTGCTTTCATCTGTGAAGAGCACAGGGCGCCAGTGGAGAATTTGCCAATCTTGGTGTTCTTTGGCAAATGCCAAACGTCCTGCACGGTGTTGGGCTGTAAGCACAACCCCCACCTGTGGACGTCGGGCCCTCATACCACCCTCATGGAGTCTGTTTCTGACCGTTTGAGCAGACACATGCACATTTGTGGCCTGCTGGAGGTCATTTTGCAGGGCTCTGGCAGTGTTCCTCCTGCTCCTCCTTGCACAAAGGCGGAGGTAGCAGTCCTGCTGCTGGGTTGTTGCCCTCCTACGGCCTCCTCCACGTCTCCTGATGTACTGGCCTGTCTCCTGGTAGCGCCTCCATGCTCTGGACACTATGCTGACAGACACAGCAAACCTTCTTGCCACAGCTCGCATTGATGTGCCATCCTGGATGAGCTGCACTACCTGAGCCACTTGTGTGGGTTGTAGACTCAGTCTCATGCTACCACTAGAGTGAAAGCACCGCCAGCATTCAAAAGTGACCAAAACATCAGCCAGGAAGCATAGGAACTGAGAAGTGGTCTGTGGTCACCACCTGCAAAACCAGTCCTTTATTGGGGGTGTCTTGCTAATTGCCTATAATTTCCACCTGTTGTCTATTCCATTTGCACAACAGCATGTGAAATGTATTGTCAATCAGTGTTGCTTCCTAAGTGGACAGTTTGATTTCACAGAAGTGTGATTGACTTGGAGTTACATTGTGTTGTTTAAGTGTTCCCTTTATTTTTTTGAGCAGTGTACTACATGTCCTTTACTAGAGCTATGCTATACTGTATTACCATCTCTCGACAGTAAATTCCTTTGCGTTGTCTTTATGTTCCAGGTCCGTTCAATCATCTCAAGTCCAGTTTGCTGGGCTCCACCTCTGAATCCAACATCAACAAGTACAGCACCATTAACAAGATCCCGCTGATTGCGCTCAACTTCACGGAGCGGAATAATGACAATAAGGCACACTCTCCCCCATCGTCAGAAAACACTATCATAGCACCCAAGGTCAAGGACAGAACGCACAACGTCACTGAAAAAGTCACACAGGTGAGACAATTGGCTGTCTGGAAAGCACATTTGACTGTTGTAACATTAGTTGGAATAATCACGTTAAAATATATTTTTTCATACAACCTTCATGTTACATTATGCGTACGAGCCACAAAATAAGACATTTACCAAATTAATGCCAGACACATTGCTGCCTATATTATTCATTATGTTTGCACTAATAGCTGCTTTTGAATCCTATGTTTCCACACTGTTTAATTCCTTCTAGGCTGAATGACATTGGTACTAATGCAATGAAATGACATGTGATTCAATATAATATGTCATTTAGCAGACGCTCTTATCCAGAGCGACTTACAGCAGCAATTAGGGTTAAGTGCCTTGCTCAAGGGCACATCGACAGATTTTTCACCTAGTCGGCTCGGGGATTAGAACCAGCGACCTTTCGGTTACTGGCACAACGCTCTTAACCACTAAGCTACCTGCCACCACTAAGCTACCTGCCGCCGCTACCTGCCGCCCCAATGAATTGGAGAAACAATCTCATCAATTAATAGTCATAAGTCGCTCTGGATAAGAGCGTCTGCTAAATGACCAATTATTATTTTTTATTTTTTATTTTATACCGGTGTGACGTTTGCTCTGTAGAAAAACAAGTCCAGCAGTGTAATACAGTATGTAGTAGAAGCTCTCCTGCTTGTTCCTACGACAACTAAGCGCTGTATAGTGACTGTCCTCTAATTAACGTCAGTGTCAAACCTCAGCACAGGCTGTAGGGTAGAAGACCAAGCTTTCCCATACAATCGGACCTTCTTTGACAGGCGAAAACAGAGCACTCCTCCTGACAATGACAATCTATAGAAGGGACAAGCCATTCTCACTCATAAATACAGCCATCATCCTACTGAACTCTCTGAATTTTCTTGGTTGCACTACCTTGAATTAGCCATTCGATGTGTTTTTCACATTAGATACGGTGCCTGTCGAGATGAATGGAAGAATCCATAATTCATCTTGTAGATGTGCTGAGGCAACATAAAACAAAGCCCTCTGTCCTCATCATTTCTCCAGCACTATTTATCAGCAGATAGGTCTCTCTTTGCAGCCTGTCAGAGCTCATTACGATCCAGAGCAGAGGAAAGCCACATACTTACTGGCCATTAGATTACAACATTGCTTAGATAGCCATAATAAGCCACAGAGTCAGAGTCCAACCATGGAGAGAAGCCAACCGAGATGTTAAAGAAGCTGTTGAGCAATGGACACTGTCTGTTGTATCTCTACCATTGTTATGAATAGAGCACTGCAAATGTAAAAAACATTTGCAAAATGTAGTATTTTCAAAAGATATACTGCTAGGATACGTAACCTGATTATCGTCCCTCAATTCTATCATTAAATCAAATTGCATTTTCAAAATGAGCTACCCCAAAGAATCTATACATGAATTTACTACCAGAATGTTAGATGGTAAGGCAGTGATTCTGTAGCCTGGTTGCTGTCTCTGTTCGGCAATTACATTCCACTCCTTGTAATTTGCCAAAGACAGGAGTGGAATGTTAGCTAAAAAGACTGGTACCCAGACTTGTGATCCTGTGGAACACCTCTGATATTGGAAATCATATTATTCACATCCCAAGACGGAGGCAATCGTCCTGTCTGTCAAATGAGAGGAGAGGACTTGTCCTAATAGAGTTGGACTGTGCAGCACTTACTCTCAGGTTAGCTGAATCATAGCGGCTGTCAAGTCCTTGAGCCAGGAACATTACCTGGATTGCTCCGGCAATAGCCAGCTACTGAGATAAGGGAGTTAAAAGCTGCCTCGGATTGATGATTACATTGCCACTCAGAGAAACGTTTGACACTCAAATCTACAGTGTAAACTTTCTTTGTCAGAATTTATTTTAATTAGTGCTCTTAGTGATTGCTGTCCCCTCTTCTCTCTGCTACTACAGGTACTGTCACTGGGTGCTGATGTCCTTCCAGAATACAAGCTCCAGACTCCACGCATGGACAGATTCACCATCCTCCACTACAGCCCATTCAAAGCTATGTGGGACTGGCTCATCCTGCTGCTGGTCATCTATACAGCCATCCTCACACCCTACTCTGCTGCTTTCCTACTCAATGACCGCGAGGAGCAAATGAGGCGTGAGTGTGGATACTCCTGCAATCCCCTGAACGTGGTGGATTTCATGGTGGACATCATGTTCATCGTTGACATCGTTATCAACTTCCGGACCACATATGTGAATCTGAATGAGGAAGTCGTCAGCCAGCCAGGGAAGATCGCCATTCACTATTTCAAAGGCTGGTTCCTTATAGACATGGTGGCTGCAATCCCCTTTGACCTGCTTATCTTCGGTTCAGGATCAGATGAAGTAAGTCATCCCTAATGCATTTCTTTCCCTGTGTTTTTCTCTCTCTGGGAGGTTTATTGCATATCACTTCAGCAGTGCTTCCACTCTTTTCCCATTTATTAAGCTCAGACTTATGCCCGTGGGCTACTTCTTAAAGGCTGAATTTTTCTGTCTCGGCTCTGAAAAGGATTACTGTATTAAATTGCATGTTGTTGTTGTTGTTTTTTTTGAATGGCCGTCGTTTCAAAATCCATTTACGTGGATTAATGGCTTCAATGATGCATTTAAATGAGGAGCGAGCCAGCAGACCCCAGCAGTGCTGTATGCACAGCTGACATACAGATGTGAAAGGCCCATTGGCAGGCAGGCCCAGGGCCGGATTAAGAATTCATAGGCCCCGGGGCTTTGGATTTGTATAGCCCCCCGTTCCCGACACACCCTAATTTTCTGTAAACAAATCCACGCACAAAGATGCAATTCGGTGCGTGGTAAATTTACTGTTGAAGAAAAAGGCCCTTTATTATAAAGCCATAACATTTGCGATGTGGCATAGGCTACAGTTGAGCAGAGACGTTTTTAGGCATGGGGAAAAATTTGTAGCAGGGTCCGGATTTTTTGTTGCCTTTTTATAAATGCATTTCATGGAATTCTATGTCATTTACATGGCAGAAGACATTAGCAGAAAATTTTTTAATACTTCACAAATGACGGAAATTAGTGGCTACTCTGACACTGACAAACTGAGATCAATAAAAATGATCTGGTCTTGAATTCAAACAATAGCCCAGTCCAATGAAGTGACACACAGATTTTACAATATTAGGAGGAAATAAATAAATGAATATATAAAAAGGTAGGGCCTTGGAAAAACAAAAAAAGGTAGGGCCGTGGATCAGAAAACCAGTCAGTATCTGGTGTGACCACCATTTGCCTCACGCAGCATGACATCTCCTTCGCATAGAGTTGATCAGGTTATTGATTGTGGCCTGTGGGATGTTGTCCCAGTCCTCTTCATTGGCTGTGTGAAGTTGCTGGATATTGGCGGGAACTGGAACACGCTGTCGTACACGTCGATCTAGAGCATCCCAAACATGCTCAATGGGTGACATTGTCTGGTGAGTATGCAGGCCATGGAAGAACTGGACCATTTTCAGCTTCCAGGAATTGTGTACAGATCCTTGCGACATGGGGCCGTTCATTATCATGCTGAAACATGAGGTGATGGCGGAGGATGAATGGCACGACAATGGGCCTCAGGATCTCATCACGGTATCTCTGTGCATTCAAATTGCCATCGATAAAATGCAATTGTGTTCATTGTCCGTACCTTATGCCTGCCTATACCATAACCCCACTGCCACCATGGGGCACTCTGTTCACAACGTTGACGTCAGCAAACCGCTCGCCCACACGACGCCATACACGCCATCTGCCCGGTACAGTTTAAACCGGGATTCATCAGTGAAGAGCACACTTCTCCAGTGTGCCAGTGGCCATCGAAGGTGAGCATTTGCCTACTGAAGTCGGTTACGACGCCAAACAGCAGTCAGGTTAAGACCCTGGTGAGGATGACGAGCACGCAGATGATCTTCCCTGAGACGGTTTCTGACAGTTTGTGCAGAAATTATATTCTTCGGTTGTGCAAACCCACAGTTTCATCAGCTGTCCGGGTGGCTGGTCTCAGATGATCCTGCAGGTGAAGAAGCCGGATGTGGAGGTCCTGGGCTGGCGTGGTTACACATGGTCTGCGGTTGTGAGGCTGGTTGGACGTACTGCCAAATTCTCTAAAACGACATTGCAGGCAGCTTATGGTAGAGAAATGAACATGCCAATTGCATGCTCCCTCAAAACTTGAGACATCTGTGGCATTGTGTTGTGTGACAAAACTGCACATTTTAGAGTGGCCTTTTATTGATCCCAGCACAAGATGCACCTGTGTAATGATCATGCTGTTTAATCAGCTTCTTGATATGCCACATCTGTCAGGTGGGTGGATTATCTTGGCAAAGGAGAAATGCTCACTAATAGGGATGTAAACAAATTTGTGCACAACATTTTAGAGAAATAAGCTATTTGTGCGAATGGAACATTTCTGGGATCTTTTATTTCAGCTGATGAAACATGGGACCAACACATTTTGTACTTATATTTTTGTTCAGTATATATACAGTGCATTCGGAAAGTATTCAGACCCCTTACCTTTTTCCACATTTTGTTATGTTACAGCCTTATTCTAAAATGGATAAGATAAAATATGTCCTCATCAGTCTACACAATGCCCCATAATGACAAAGTGAAAACCGTTTTTTAGAATTTTTGGCAAATGTATTAAAAATAAAAATAAACAGATACCGTATTTACATAAGTATTCAGACCCTTTGCTATGAGTCTCGAAATTGAGCTCAGGTGCATCCTGTTTCCATTGATCATCCTTGAGATGTTTCTACAACTTGATTGGAGTCCACCTCTGGTAAAGTCAATTGATTGGACATGATTTGGAAAGGGACACACCTGTCTATATAAGGTCCCACAGTTGACAGTGCATGTCAGAGCAAAAACCAAGCAATGAGATCGAAGGAATTGTCCATAGAGCTCTGAGACAGGATTGAGTCGAGGCACAGATCTGGGGAAGGATACCAAAAATGTTTTTCAGCATTGAAGGTCCCCAAGAACACAGTGGCCATCATTTTTAAATGGAAGAAGATTGGAACCACCAAGACTCTTCCTAGAGCTGGCTGCCCGGCCAAACTGGGCAATCGGGGGTAGAAGGACCTTGGTCAGGGAGGTGACCAAGAACCCGATGGTCATACTGACAGAGCTCCAGAGTTCCTCTGTGCAGAGGGGAGAACCTTCCAGATGGACAACCATCTCTGCAGCACTCCACCAATCAGGCCAGACGGAAGCCACTCCTCAGTAAAAGGCACATGACAGCCTGCTTGGAGTTTGCCAAAAGGCACCTAAAGGACTCTCAGACCATGAGAAACATCATGCTGTATGGATGTTTTTCAGCGGCAGGGACTGGGAGACTAGTCAGGATCGAGGGAAAGATGAACGGAGCAAAGTACAGAGACATCCTTGATGAAAATCTGCTCCAGAGCGCTCAGGATCTCAGACTGGGGCGAAGGTTCACTTTCCAACAGGACAATGACCCTAAGCACACAGCCAAGACAACGCAGGAGTGGCTTCGGGACAAGTCTCTGAATGTCCTTGAGTGTCCCAGCCAGAGCCTGGACTTGAACCCGATCTAACATCTCTGGAGAGACCTGAAAATAGCTGTGCAGTGACGCTCCCCATCCAACCTGACAGAGCTTGAGAGGATCTGCCGAGAAGAATGTGAGAAACTCCCCAAATACAGGTGTGCCAAGCGTCATACCCAAGAAGACTCTAAGCTGTCATCGCTGCCAAAGGTGCTTCAACAAAGTACTGAGTAAAATGTCTGAAAACCAGTTTTTGCTTTGTCATTGTGGGGTATTGCATGTAGATTGATGAGGGGAAAAAACTCTTTAATCCATTTGGGAATAAGGCTGTAACGTAACAAAATGTGGAAAAAGTTAAGGGGTGTGAATACTTTCCGAATGCACTGTATATACATACTACAGTAGGCTACTAAATAAACTTTTCAGTGCCGCACTGACTCACCCAATGATGAAGATGAAGCCATAAGCTATTGCCACGAGGAGAGAAGCCTATCTCAAGATGAGCTACATTGAAAAACATTGCTGTTGTTCGCTCAAAATTAGAGTTGTTGATGGAGTTAATTATTTTATTTTATTTGTTCTACAGACAGATTAGTCTTCTCTTTTCAGCAGTAGGCATTTGCTTTCCAAACTATACATTTTTCTTGTGATTGTAGCCTAGAAGTTAAGAGCGTTGTGCCAATAACCAAAAGGTTGCTGGATCGAATCCCCGAGTCGACTAGGTGATAATCTGTCGATGTGCCCTTGAAAGGCACTTAATCCTAATTGCTCCTGTAAATCGCTCTGGATAAGACCGTCTGTTAAATTACTAAAATGTAAATGTATGTATTTTCAAATGTGTAAAAGGCAAACTGACAGCTGCAAACAACCATAGAAATATAGTCCATAGATAGCAGTTCCCATTCAAGTCAGGACTGGCAGCCATTGCTAGTGTACCCATGAGTTTAACAGTCAAATTGCCAGGGTAAGAAGTTCCAAAACCCTTCTATGGATTATATGTCTATGGCTATAATGCAACAAGCTGTTCTATATTTTGCTGGCATTCTGCCCAAATTGTGGCCTTCCGACTGTAGGCATACCTGTAACTGCCAAAATAAAAGAAACAAGTAAATGAGGGATAGAAAGTATATATTATGGTGTGGGGTGCATTTCCCTGCCATGGTTTAGGTCCACTTCTAGAATCTATGCCAAGGCGCATTGAAACTGTTCTGGCAGCTCGTGGTGGCCCAACACCCTATTAAAACAGTATGTTGGTTTCCTATTATTTTAGCAGTTACAGTTGAAGTTGGAAGTTTACATACACTTAGGTTGGAGTCATTAAAACTCGTTTTTCAACCACTCCTGTCACGACTTCCGCCGTGACCCTGGACAACACCCTGTCGTTCTCCACTAACATCAAAGCGGTGACCCGATCCTGTAGGTTCATGCTCTACAACATTCGAAGAGTACGACCCTACCTTACACAGGAAGCGGCACAAGTCCTAATCCAGGCACTTGTCATCTCCCGTCTGGATTACTGCAACTCGCTGTTGGCTGGGCTCTCTTTCTGTGCCATTAAACCCCTACAACTCATCCAGAACGCTGCAGCCCGTCTGGTGTTCAACCTTCCCAAGTTCTCTCACATCACCCCGCTCCTCCGCACCCTCCACTGGCTTCCAGTTGAAGCTCGCATCTGCTACAAGACCATGGTGCTTGCCTACGGAGCTGTGAGGACAACGGCACCTCCTTACCTTCAGGCTCTGATCAGTCCCTACACCCAAACGAGGACATTGCGTTCTTCCACCTCTGGCCTGCTGGTCCCCCTACCTCTGCGGATGCACA